TATGAATGTTTGTAGCAGCTTTATTCATAAGTGCTAAAACTGAAGCAACCAAGATATCCTTTAAAGGTGAATTGATAAATTGTGGTACATCCATTCAATGGAATATTATTTATCAATTTAAAAAATGAAGCCATGAAAAGACATGAGTAAACCTTGAATGCACATTGCTAAGTGAAAAGCCAGTCTGAAAGGCTGTATGATTCCCATACATGACATCCTGGAAAAGGCAAAACTGTCGTGATAGTAAAACGATCAATGGTTGCCAGTATGAGTTGGAGAAGATGAAAATGTGGAGCACGGAGCTTTTTAGAGTGGTGAAAATGATCTGTGTGATCCTGTAAGGATGCATGTGTGACACTGTACATTTGTCAGAAGTACTAGAAACTCCACAAAGAGTGAACCTTAATGTATGCACATTTTTAAAAAAATCACTTACATAATCAGGGCATTCCAGGATAGAATGTGGACTGTGAGCAAAGAATCTAGCTCTATTACAAATATACGAAACAGCCTCCCTGAAGGAAGTAGGAAAAAAGGTGATGACCTACATAATATTATAAATAAAGGTGGGCTGTAAAGCTAAAGACACAGGAAAGTGCACATTAACACTGCATAGTAGTTAATAAAGTTGTTTCCCATGGTGTAGGTTAACAGTTCTGGTAGCAGTATATGTGGATACTGGATGTGAACAATTAAATAAATGGGTGACAGATGGTAGGTGCTAGGTTTCTCACTGTTGAAGTGGGAGTTTACAGATGAAGGGGAGAGAGGGCTAGGATGATCCATGTGGTAATGGGTCAGAGTTGGAGTTGTCAGTATTATGGATGTTTAGTTTAATATAGATACAGATTGTTAAATATGGAATTATTAAAAGATACGTATATATAAATGGGTTAGTATACACACATAGATTTCCTTTTGAGGCAACAGAGACAGCCAGAAATAAGACCCTGTGGTAGTAATGAGTACACCTAGCACCAAGATTTTGGGTTCAAATACCATTCTCTAATAAAAGGAACTCGGGCTCTTTGGAGTAATGGCTTATTCTGGGACTGGGGCAGAAAACATAAAAGATAAACCTGGAACATTTGGCAATACCAGAGGAAGTGCTAAAAAAACAAAAATTCTGCATGATGGAGGTGTGTCTTAGGAATATAGGAAGCAGCTGAAAGAACTCCCAGTGGCCAAAGGTAGAACCATTTGAGCAATGAAATAAAGTAATATTGGATTAGAAACTCAAGTATAAAATAAATGTCTTTGAGTCTGTACTGATTTAAATAACTGTAAATAAGTATGAGAGGAGACAAATCTCCCACGCAAAAAAAGTCCACATAATTTATGTAGTTATTCCCCCCAAAGGTGTTAAATTATAATTCCTCATTCCTTAAGCATAGAATACACGTAAGGGCTTCTTTCCAGGGGTACAGTATGGAAAATAGGGAAAAGAGAGTGACTTTGCAATGAAGAAATCTGACAAAAACTACCTCCTGAGTGATTACAGTCAACATCAACAGTGGCAAACCATGCTGATGGCAGGTACACATGATTTGATATGATGAGAATGTCTACTTTACCTCTATGGTCTTCCTCCCCAGAAACCCATAACCCCCATTTAATCATGAAAGAAGTGTCAGATAAGTCCTACTTGAGGGAAATTTTACAAAATACCTGACCAGTATTCCTCAAAACTGTTAAGGTCATCAAAATAAGGCAAATCCAAGAAGAACTGGAATCTATCACGGCCAAGAGGAACCCATGGTGATATGATAAATGTGTATTTCATAGTATCCTGGATGAGACTAGATGCTAAGTAAAACTAAGGACATCTAAATAAAGTATGGATTTGGGTTAGTAGTAATATATCTATGTTGGTTCATTAATTATAACAAATGTACCATACTGATAAAAGTTGTTAATTACAGGGGGAAACTGGGTGTGGGATATATGGAAGTTCTCTATACTGGCTTGATAATGTTTCTGTAGCTTTAGATCTGTTCTAAAATTTAAAATTTATTTAAAAACAAATAGAGTGATATATTCTTCTGAGTCACCTGTCCAGTTTTGTTACCTGAACTGGAATGAAAGTCAAAACTATCTTCCCTTTCTCATTAGTCAGTTAAAGATAGGAAATACTGTAGTTTGCTTTTTCTTGGTAGCTGTAGCCATCCGTCAATTCATCCATCCATCCATCTATCCATTCAAAATTCATTAATGAGCTTTGCATGTGTGTCATGCTCTGGGGATACAGAGTGCGTAGAAAGAAAGCTATAGCACCTGCCCTCCAATGTGCTTAAAATGCAATCAAGAAAGGGAGACAAACACACAATGTGTAGGCCACTGTTACTACTCCTGGGCTCTTGTTGCTATTATGGTAGGTGTTCTGCTTTGCTCCTCCCAAATATGTTAGGAGGAGAATCCCTCCCTTATCCTAACTCTAGACTCTTTCAAAGGAGTTTGGCTCTTTTGGTTAACTTTAAACTGTGATTTTTAAGTGACCATACCATTTTTTTAGGCCTCCAAATGTGATCGTGGACTTATAATAATCTTCTCTTCTATGATGCTTGAAAGAATTTGGATGCTATCCAGTGTTTTACCCGAAAGCTTTCTGGTGGTTCAGAAGACAATGTCTTGGTCTCATTTTGAATTCTTTGGGGTTGTTCCTCTCACCTCTTAAGTCTATTTGGAGGTTCTAATGTCTTCCCCTTGATTTCTTATTTCTGGTGTCATAGGGACCAGACATTGGTTCTGTGGTCCTATTCATTTGTTCACCTATTAATCAACTTAGCACAGGCCTAGTTTAGGGCTTTCATACTGGCTGTTTCTCTGCTTGTGATGTTCTTTTCACAGATTCCTTTCATTCACTCTTTATTTGAATTTCACTCTTTTTTTTAATTTTTATTTATTTATGATAGTCACACACAGTGAGAGAGAGAGGCAGAGACACAGGCAGAGAGAGAAGCAGGCTCCATGCACCGGGAGCCCGACATGGGACTGGATCCTGGGTCTCCAGGATCGCGCCCTGGGCCAAAGGCAGGCGCCAAACCGCTGCGCCACCCAGGGATCCCTGAATTTCACTCTTGAGAGATGCCTTTATGATAACTCTGTATAAATATTGCTACCTCTCCCCAATTCCATCACTTTCTACCTCATTACAATGCTTTTTTTTCATAACACTTATCTCCACCTGACATTTATTATATATTTACTTGCTTATTGTCTTTCTCTTCTAGAAAATCTGCTCACAATGGTGGGAACTTTATTGTTTAGTGGTCTCAGCATCTACGACAGAGTCTAGAACATAGCAAGCACTCAGTGAATATTTGGTAGATAAATGCGTGCGTGACAGATCATTCTTCCAGTGGGCCTACAGACCTCCTTGCCTCAAAAAAAGCTTCTGATGACATGCTTTCATTAATCAGAATTTCTATCATGTAGATTGAAATTTCAATTTACAGATTGAAACCCTGCCTAGGTCCTTGATCCATTTATATTTGTAAATGCTTGAGAGTTTTCAAAGTGCTTTTACCTAGATAGTTGCTTTTAATTTCTTGTATGAATTAAAACTATGAAGTAACTAAGAATTTTCAGATGTATTTTACAAACATGACAGTTTGGGAGATGAAGTCAGATCTTTTGACTTCTGGCTCATCAAGTGATTACCCAGGATTTATGTTTCATCTCCACCTGTACCTAGAATGCTTTTGAGGGCAAGGGCTTAAATTATTTGTTTTATTTTCCATTGTGCCTTAAACACAGTGTGTTTACATAAAGGTGTGTTGATTTGAACCTTTCCATCCACAGAATAGTTGTGGAAATATCCTTTCCATTTGCAACTAAAGTGGAAAATTTTAGCCACTTCTTTCCTCCGCTTCTATTGACTTTGATGGACCCTGGGAGAATCTCAGAGATGAGCATTACCTATGGTTCCACAGAATCAGTGGGTTAGGGCTGTGAATTGCATAGGAATCACTTCGGAACCTTGTTAATATTTAGATTCTGGTTCAGTCGATCTAGTATAGGACCCAAAAGACTGCATTTTTAGCAAGCACCCTCGTGGTACCCATGCTACTCATCTGTGGAGCACATGTTGAATATTTCAGGGGTTGGTAACCACATGAAAGGTGGAATCTCTATTTGGCTACCTGACTTTGTGACCCTAGGTGAGTTTCTTGGAGACAGTACAGCATATTGGTTAAGCTATATTTCTTTGGTTAGAATTCTACGTCCCTACCTTACTATGACTCCAAGCGGGTTATTTAACTTTTCTGTATCTCAATTTCATCTTTTTAAAATAGGGATCATATTAGTACTTATACGTTATGAGGAATGACTGGGTTATTACTTGTGAACCTAGAATAGAAGATAGCGCATAGCACACAGTGAATCTTAACTGTTACTATCATTTCTTTGTCTCCTTGTGCGATTCTGTTAAATTACATCAGTAGGTTTAAGATACATCTGAGAGACAGAAAATTGTTTAAAGTATTTGTAAGATGAAATTCCTAATCTCATTGGGAAGACAGTGCTTTCATTAATGAACAGTGCAGTACAAATCAGCTGGTGTTGGTTCTTCTTGTGTTATCATAGCTGTGTACTTCCTATCAAGTATGGGAAAATGAGTAGGCACTCCAGTTTTGTAGTGTTGTAATATATGATATTAAGCATAGAGTATGAAATTGTTTTTATTCATCTCAGTTATGCATTAAATAAGCCAACTTGATTTTAATTGATCATTTGGAAATATGGAGGCAGGGGCCCCAAGAATCAGTGAGAACCCAACTGGTACTTCATGTCATTCATGTAACAATTGGGTGATGGAAAGTATAGACAGAATTATTTTAAAGAGAGGTTTTGTTTCTCATTTTTCAAGTAACTAATGAAAAATAAAGTTGTGTTCCTCTGGAAAAAAATTTACATAGCCCACTTCTTTCACTGACTAAAAAGTGTAAAAATAAGTTTTTCATTAACACGGAGTTTTTTTTTTTTTCCTTTTGTTTTAGGATCAGATTTTATTAAGACCTCTACTGGAAAAGAAACAGTAAATGCCACTTTCCCAGTAGCTATAGTAATGCTACGGGCCATTAGAGATTTCTTCTGGAAAACTGGAAACAAGGTATATTATTGCCAGCAAATCTTTCTTCATAGTAAAGATAATGTTATTTATAATACTAGTTACAGCCACAGAAACTGTCTTTATATGCAGAAGGTGTGAATGAGTTACCTTTATGAAGATAAATGTTTAATTTACCTTTCATTACAAAAGAACACATTCATGGAGAAAAATGTGCGATTAACAGAAAGTGAGTGTGAGTGTGGGAGTAAGTCTGTGTGATCAAGATGTAAACTCACTTTATGTCCTTTTATTAACTGAAGACAATTTTATCACTGACAAGAGATTCCTAAATGGGTTCTTTAACGAACTAATTCTGCTACAACACAGGCTTTCTGGTAAGGCGTTGGCCAGCGAAAACAGGTTAATGCAGAAATTAAACTTCCTTGAGGAATGGAAAGAATTGCAGAGTAACATTTATTGAATGATAAGCTGTGGTGGTGATATGAAAAGTATGCAATATAATGGGAAATAATCTTTTCCTGTCATTATTGAAGGACACACATAAATTGGTTTTTCTGTTGGGAAACCCCCGGTCCAGAAAAACTTATTACTTTTAATAATATGAGGTGAAGAGAAAATTCTCGAGGAGATGAACTTATTAAACAAAATAATGAAATGCTGTGAAACAGCAGGGAAAAGGTAGCTAGACGTTATATAGCTCTTGAATTAAATATCCATTTTTGCGTTTTATGGCAGTTGGATGTGCTCTTTGGAAGACTGTTAAGCTGAGGAGGGTATGTGCTAGCTTTTGTCAGCTTTTCGAAAAATAATACATATTTTTTTGAAACATATGATGTTAAAAAGAAAAATGCGTATGAGGTGTTTTTTAAAATGAGTTTGGATTTTCCTTTTCACTTCAAGTTGCTTGTTTAGCTGCAAATTATCTCAAAGGATTTTTTTTTTTTTACATCATTGGAGAGAAAGGTAGTTTGTTTTTCTTTTTGTTGTTGTTTTTTAATGAAACTGTGCCTTCCTCACAAGACATCTTTTAAAACCAATCTATGGATTTCTGTCAAATGGAAACCCAAAAAAGACCTTTAATTCTATGCCAGCTAGATGTGATGACTTTATATGTGACTATACCTTTGGTTCACTTTTGGAAGTATTTTAAAGTGTACTGGGTTCGAGAGGAAATGAACTCCTTCCAGAATTTTCTCCTTCAGAATAACTTCATATCTTTAAAAAAGTACAAATAGGAAAGATAACTACTGTGACCTTACATATGGCAGTTGACTCAATTTGAGTAACCTCTAGTTTGGTAGCTTTTCTGCACTGATCTAAATTAAAAAAAAGAAAGAAAGAAAGAAAAGAAATGTTTAGCTATAAAAAAAGAGAACTCTGTCTTTGGTCCTGCCAGCTGAGACCACCACCATTCATTTAGACCAGTGGTTCTTATTTACCATCAAAGTACAACAAAATAAGTGTGAAGTTTTTTACGCTTACAGGTTCCTGGGCCCTTGTCCCTAGCACTTCTGGATGAGGAGTAATCCTTAGGCATCTATATGTTTCATAAGCTCTATAGTCGGGATTAAAATCCACCATTGGACACCTAACCCTGCTGTGTTCTCAACAGACATTTGAGTAGCTAACTATGTGTCATGTTAACCTATGTTAACAGAGATACAAAATGAACAAGTCCCTTTCCAGGAGAGCTCGTAGACAATAAGCAAAGAATTTCAATAAAAGTTTTAAGTGCTCAATATTCTAGGCTAGAGTAAGAAGGGACTCTGCTGGCTTTCATTACTTCTTTTTAATTGTATTGACCCTTTCCTCAGCTAATAAACAAAGTTTATCCCAGTTTTATTAAGAAACAGATACAAGTCAAATCATATTCATATTCATTTTAATCACGTTTGATTTCACATAGTGAGGATCTGTATATGTATCTGCAAATCAGGTGCATCCTTTCAGGTTGTTGACAAGTTGCCTGGGCAGCCCTTAGACTGTAAACTTTCTACATCATTGATTTAAGGGGTGTTTTAAAATGTGATGGGCCGTCTTCCAGACCATGATTAGTGTCACTCTGAGCAGCAGAGGTTTAATATTTCATAACTGATTTCATTGCAGATTTATGTTTTCCATATTCTCTCCCTTAAAAAAAAAAGGATAAACTTATGCTAGAATCTCTCTTTAGAAACACTGCCAAACAGACTTGCTGACACAACTGAACTGTATAGAAAAATCTATATGCAGTACTGCCTAATTGACAGAAATGCTCTTATGATTAACATGTATGCTAATATCAGCTAATTGATTTGGGGGACCTTTTCTCAATAAATAATCTCATCCTCTTTATCTTCCCCACTTGCCCCATGTCTCTGCACTCTTTCAGAGCCACTTGGACTCCAAGGTAATAGGCAGATAGGGTTAGGATCAGTGTAATAGCTGCAATGGATCAGTGTACAGTGGCAATGTATGACTGTGGCAGGGAAACTAGTAAGGAGACCCACCGATCTTAGAACTAATGAGGGTCTAAACTAAAACAGCAGGAGTGAGAGTACAGAGGAAGTATGGATAGGAGGAGGGAGATACAGAAGTTAAAGAGGGAAGCTTGGTAGGACTTGACCTTTGATTGATTGGGTGTGGTGTGGTGTAGTGTGGTGTGATGGGGAAAATGGTGGAATCCAGGTTAACTGTGAGATTTCTAGCTTAGGTTAATTATGGGACCATTCATTTATTGTCTCCCTTCTCTAGCATTCTTTTAGCAACTAACCCCATGTTGGTGCTACCTATCGAATCAATGGCTCTTTGTGTTCAAATGCCTGAGCTTTAGTACTTGGGCTATGCAGTGTTTTCTTGATTGTTCTTGTCTGTAGATTCTCTACTCTACTGTCTCTACTCAGGTTCTTGAGACAAGTAAATCCAGATAAGCAGGTTTTACTGTTTATAAAATACATTTATCCATTTCTAATGGACTCAGGGACATCATTTGTAAACATCAGATATTGGCTGAGTCGTGCTGTTTTATGTTCACCTTCAAAGACTACTGAACTGTGAAGAGCTCCTACACTCTTTTTCTACTGTGCTTATTTAACTGGTCTGGCTGCTTTACAGAACTCTAGCTACTGACGACTTAGAAAAAAGTCCCTACACTTCAGTTGATGAAAATAACTGCCAGTGCTCCTTCCTGATTGCTGCCACTTTGCTTAGTGTGGCCTCACTGATTCTCTCCTCTTATTTTGAATACGTGTATGTGTTTTTTGCACCTCTGAAGGAAGGGCTGAAAGGCAACTAGACTGGCTGAATTGTAGAAATGTAGAATGAATGGGCTTTGGTGGTATCTGTTTTCCTTATTTATTGACACCTCTCTTGTTTATCCCTGGTTCACAGCTATAGTCTAGATGGTTGAGGTTTATGACTTTCCAATAAACGCAATGTTAATGAGGGTTATTAACGCTCATTAGTGTCTCCTCAGAAGCAGTGACATTCTTCGCATTAATCTTGGAAAAGTCATTTTGTAGTGTGAATGGGCGTGAGTCAGTGATCTGAGCTCTTTTGCTGGGTGAAGTGAAATAGACTTAATAAGAGAGAAAGAGAATTGAGACCCTGTATTAATGCAGTACCATTTTTTTTATTGTTGTTAAAGATTTTATTTACTTAGTTTTGAGAGAGAGAACACATGCCTGAGAGCCAGCATGTGCAGGGGAGAAGCTGAGGGAGAGAATCTCCAGCAGACTCTGTGCTGAGTGTGGAGCCTGACAAGGGGCCCAATCCCAGGACTCTGAGATCATGACCTGAGCAGAAACCAAGAGTCCGGAGCCGAAACCAACTGAGCCACCCAGGCACCCCCATGCAGTATCATTTTTTTTTTTTTATGATAGTCACAGAGAGAGAGAGAGAGAGAGAGAGAGGCAGAGACATAGGCAGAGGGAGAAGCAGGCTCCATGCACCGGGAGCCCGACGTGGGACTCGATCCCGGGTCTCCGGATCACGCCCTGGGCCAAAGGCAGGCGCCAAACCGCTGCGCCACCCAGGGATCCCCATGCACTATCATTTTTTAAAGCACTCCAGGAACAATAAACATTGTTCTCTTTCCCACCTTCCTTTGTAGATAGGCTTTAAACCAGCAGGAGGCATCCGCAGTGCAAAGGATTCCCTTGCTTGGCTCTCCCTCATAAAAGAAGAGCTGGGAGATGAATGGCTGACGCCAGAACTCTTTCGAATAGGTGCCAGTACTCTGCTTTCAGACATCGAGAGGCAGGTATGTAATAATCTATTGCCTTTGGGACAAATTGACAAGTGTGTTTTTGAGAGAGAAATGAAAAATCCCCTGCTGGGATATGAGACCTAGAGAAAAAAATTCATCTGATTTACCTCATTGCTTCCAAACTTCTGCTTTCTTTCAAGCAAACCTCCACCTGAAGTAGGTTGAATGGAAAGTCTGCTGAAATGTGTAATAATGTGGGGCTTTATAATGAAACATTAAAGTTATTAATTATTATTTAGTAGTATAATAATTAATATGTATGTGATATAGAATACTTATTAATTAACTAAATTCTGATTTACCTTACAGATTTACCATCATGTGACTGGAAGATATGCAGCCTATCACGATCTTCCAATGTGTTAAATCACTGACCAATTCCAGAAGAGCTCTTTAGATCAGTGTTTAGAATGTGTTTTTCTATGTGATTGCTAAAATTGTTTAATTAAAATATGAGGGGACTTTTTTATTTCCCTTAACTTTCACTGAATTTAATTCAAAGAATAAAAGAAAAAAACAACTAACCCATACATAGTATTCTTTTCAGGCACTTTTGAAATGGTCCTAATTACTTGAAAATCTGTATGGTTAATTTTGTGAAGATTTTTCCCTTAAAAATTCTGAGTAAAATATTAATGATGGCTTTGACAACGTTAAATTCTAAGGAAAAAAAAAAGTTAAACCGCCCAAGAAATGTGCCTTAGCAAAAGAAAACGCAGCCTCCCTGAGCTGCTGGCCCTACTCTAATGACTTCAGGAGTCACTGACTTGGCACTAATTTCCTGCCATGAAAATCTGTCTTTAATTTTTGCAACAGATATGCTCTTATATTAATTGTTTCACTAATGAAACTTATGTTGTTGTTATAGGATATTATGGACATTGCATTTTTAAATATAAAAATCCCTGTAGTTATTTTTTTGGAAAAAAAAAATACTTTAAATCGTAACAACACCTACTGAAAAATTAATCCATTAAACATATAAAGAGGTTTTAATTAATGACTTTTTGAAGTCACACCTTCTAGTAGAGTCTTTGCATATGTATATCAGAAGGCACCTCAGTAAGAGCATTAATGAATACAACTTATGTAGATATGCTGAAACTTCAGATTTTTCTGGCATAAGGGAAATAAGGGAAAAAAATAGCAGACACTAACATAGCACTTAATATGTCCTAAGCTCTTCACATCAATGTATTTGAACCTTGTAACAGTCAGTACTGGTATTATCATTCTTTTATACAGATGAGGGCCTGAGGCCAGAAAGCTGAAGCAACTTGTCAAAGATCACAGAGCCCCCCAATGGCAGAGTCAAGAATCAAGCCCAGGCTGACAGCCTGGCTCCTGGGTGTCAGTCACCCTGGGTGTGCACCACTGTCCCTCAGCACCCATAGGCACAGCATCAGAGTTCACTGTCTGCTCTGGGGAATGGGCATCTGCTTTGTTGTCTGCTCGTTCCCTTGCTCTGTCTGTCCCTCCAAGCTTTCCACGTCTACCATTTTTGCTTCCTAGCACCTCTCCCGCACGATTGAACCTAGTGAGTTTCGGAGAGAGTCTTTTATCCTCCTTGAACAAGTCTCCAGCTATTCCTAAGTGGGAAACCCCAGACTGGGCATCCGTTTTGGTTTCACCTTCTGATAATGGAAGCCCAGCCAGCCTCTTCCTCTTTCTAACCCTCTGACCTTGCTTCAGTCAGTTCACCTCTCTGGACCTCAGCTTCTTTATCTGTGAAAGAGAGGGATTGGGCAGGCAATATCAAGGTTCTTTGAGACCTAAAATCATATTGCCCTAAGGATAATTATAACAAATGCTAGAAAATGTTTTACAGCTATAAAGAGAAAACACTTTTGTAGCAATCTAAATTAGAATGTGCCTCTTGGGAATCAATTAGGCAAGTCCCCAAAGCACCTCTCCAACTGGAAATGAAATGACTAAAATAAGAAGGGAGGAGAAATCTTGCTTTCCCCCATTCCCTTAGCAGAAGGCTGTCCCTTGACTTACACCTTTGGATATGGTCAGTAGCTCTGAATGCCATATCCACCTTCATAACAACGCCAGCCCAGGTGCCCACAGCACAATGGCCGTCACCTTTAGAGAAGTAACTTTGCAGAAAAATAATTACATTCTATCACCTTTGAAACTATTCCAATATCACAGGGGTTTCTGTTTTCTTCCCATTAAACCCAGCTGGTCATTTTAGTTGATCAAGTGAACAGGCATCATTATCTTCAATTCTAATTTATATGAGGCGTCCACTGAAATTGACCCCTGCGGACAATTATAGATTCACATAGGAAATTAAGACTGTGAGTCCCTCAAACCTATTAAAGGCTGATGAGCATGGCCTGATCTGAAGGTGTGTAATCTTATATTTTGGGGGGCAATTTAGTCTAAGGACTGTTAGGCTCTTCATCAGGAATGTCTGCCCCTTACCTGGCTCTTGAAATCAAATGTAACACAGATGCCTTTAATAGGAAGACCCTAGTAAATGTTGATTGCTATGAAAACATAAGAGGAAGAGGTCATTTTCGAGGTGACTGTGATTTACTACAAGCAGATTTGTGTACTTGAGAACATAGGGAGCAGATGCTTTATATGATCAGAAAATGAGGATTGTGTCCTGTGTTTAAAGCTTCTATATTAATAAAGCAACCCCCCCACCCCATTTGTCCCAGTTGCTCAATAAAGCATATTAGGCCTGAAAGTTACTTTATAAACAACAAATCAGATAATTTGGGGGCTTAAAAAGCCTTTAGAGGATGTGTATTTCTAACTATCATTTTTTTATATAAGAAAAGAAACTGAACGTGGGGAAGTCACTTATGTAAGACCATGTAAAAAGTGAGAGCTGTGACTATGGGAGAGCCAGATCCCAGAAGGTAAAAGAAACAATGAGAACAGGAACACGCATAAATGGCAACTGCTTATAAAGCCGTGAGTCAACCCGCACTCGGAGCTTCACCTCTGTACCTGAGCTTGGTGGTGCCTGATGCTGTAGCCCCTTCAGGCCTCTCTGTTCCAAGATACTGGACTCTGAATAATCATTGTGTCTGTCATTGGAACATGTCATGCATCACTCAAACCAGAGCTTAGGCCCGTATTTTGGCCATGAAATATTTTATAAGACATAGCCAGGGCTTTAGAATCGAAAGTTTCTTTCTTATTTATACACTCTACCACACCTAACATTATGTTGGTCAGCATGTGAAATTCAGACTTTCAGAAGACTCACTTTTGCCTCTTAAGAGTCTTCTGGGGGTGCCTGGGTGGCATCTGACTTGGTTTCGGCTCAGTCGTGATCTCTGGGTTGTGGGTTCTAGCCCCGCTTCACGTTGGGCTCTGTGCTCAGCACAGTCTGCTTCTCCCTCTCCCTCTGCTCCACACCCCCATATGCTGTCTCTCAAATAAATAAAATTAAAAAAAGAAAAAAAGTCTTCTTAATGGTGTTTTGAAGACCCACCATCTAAATCTAGCCCAGGTGATGGTGTGGTGTATGCCATCCACTTTCCGAATTTTGGGTGACCTCAAAAACTGAAAAAAAAAAAAAAAAAAAAGAAAAAGAAAAAAAAAGTTGAATGTTGCTTTATTGTGTTTATTATTTTTTTTAAGGACAAAAATGAGAAGGGGCTTGTTTGGATTCTGGTTTGTCTACAAATGAAGAGAAAATGACTAGTGCAATCACAAAACAATTTCATAATTACAGTATCTTTGCCTCATTCTAGTTTATTTCAGTGCTAACAGGAAATTTAGGCAAATTAGTTTGCATGAAAAATAGCTTCTAAGGAGACCTGTATAAAAGCAGGAACTGTTAGAAATTCTATCTGGAAGTCATCCTCTGTGCTCAGGGCACAATAGTCTCTGTCTTGATGGAGCAGAATGGTTTGCTAGGCCATAGGTAGATGTCTCACATAAACTACATCTAGAGAAACCAAATCAGTTTCTTTCGAAAAAACAACTTACACTTCTAGTGCAGAGAAAAACCAGTATTAATTTTTCTTCTACAAACCAGATAATTTTTTGACACAATATAAATAGGGCCAGAGTGGAGATAGAAGAAAGAATTTGAATAGATCATACTTTCAAAGGAAATGAAGCATTATGGCCATTTTGGCACTAAGAAAAAGGTATGAGGTGAAATCAATTTCTACATTTGCTTTCCTGATCATGCTCAAGAGTCTTGCCTCCCAAAGGAAAATATGTATTTTATAACCACCACCAAATGATCCTTTCCAGAAATGACCACAGGTAACATCTGGCCAATATATAAAATATGTAGTAAAAATAATCATTTTTAATTAACTAAAACCTGCTCAGGAGAGAGAGTCAGTGGAATATCCATCTGGTCAATTCTTATTTAATAGGGCAAATGAGGATCAGAATGTTTAATGCAATACTTAGTGACCTTACAATGAACTAAAACTAAAACTTTTTTTCCTTCTTTCTTTCTTTTTTTTTTTTTTTGTAAGAACAAGGGGGAGGGGGGAGAAATCAATATCTTGAAATGACAGACAAAATTAGATTTTTTTTTCAGAAGTACATGTACTTTGAAGCATGGGTAGAATATAAGAGACGTAGGTTTTGTGGCATTATTTTATATGGTTCAACAACAGAAAGTGTGTTTTAATCGATTTGAATGGTAAAATGATGCTGTACTTTATTCTGGAGCTTGGCCAGGATGACAAAGAGTTTTAAGTGATTATAAATAAAGGTTAAAGGAACTAGGATTGTTTAGCCCCAGGAGAAGATTGAAGAGTACTTGATATCTAATGGCCCTAGGAAAAGTTTTATACTGGCTCATAGTAACCAAGTCCTATATCCCCTCTGTAGAAGAAGAAATGCATCTACCCTACATGAGAAGTTAGATTAGTTCTAGGGAAGAACTCTTTTAATACTCTGAAATGTGTTATTAAGAAGGTACATCTTTGTCTTCCCTTCTCAGAAATAGCTTGTCCTTTGATTGCAGCAGTTTAGTTGTGCTTCCAAAGAAAGTGGTTCTCAAACTTTAGTACACATGAAAATCACCAAGAGATGTTTTATAAAGATTTATTTATTTTAGAGAGAGAGGGGGAAAGGTGTGGGAGAGGGGCTGAGGGAGTGGGGGGAAATCCTTAAGCAGACTCCCTGCCGAGCACAGAGGCCCACGTGGAGCTTTATCCCAGGACCTTGAGATCATGACCTGAGCCAAAACCAAGAGTGGACGCTTAACCAATTTAGCACCCAGTCACCCCAAGGGGGTTGTTTTTGTTGTTGTTGTTTTATAAAACACAGAATCCTGGCCTCACCCCGAGAAGTTTCCAATTCAGTTAAATTGGCTGTGGGGCCTAAGAATTTGCATTTCCAGGAAGTTCCCAAACAGTGTTGATGCTCCAAAACCTCACTCTGAGAACCACTGGACTGGAATGCCTTACACTCAATACCTAGGTTCCAAAGTAAATGCATCTCTTCATTAGTAAAATCCACCAGCTGCAGTACTTCCGTATCATGAAACTAGGATAAATGTGTATATTTTGCTGCTTTTCATAGCCAAGAATAAGAGAGGGAGCAATGTAAATGACATTTCCTGTAACCCTTTCACAGTAGGCAGCAAACTTGACTACACTTGGGGCTTAAATGAAGCTTTGGAGCCTAGAATAAATATTTCAGATGAGTTTAGGATCATTATCCATAAAATCTATCCAGGCTTTCAGCAAGTCAAGATAGTAAGATTCAGCTGTCTTTGATTTTACCTATTTGGAATGCTTTGACTTTGGTGATTCCAGTGTAATTGTACTTAAAACTAAGACCTATTTTAACAGAGCCCATTCTTTAACATATATATATATATATATATATATATATATATATATATATATTAAAGATTTTATTTATTTATTCATGAGAGACACAGAGAGAGAGGAAGAGACACAGGCAGAGGGAGAAGCAGGCTCCATGCAGGGAGCCCGATATAGGACTCAATCCTGGGACTCCACGCCCTGGGCCAAAGGCAGGCACTAAACCACTGAACCATCCAGGGATCACCTAACTTATATTTAAAGTAGATAACATGTTGTAGGGAGGGGACATTTCACAGATACTTGGCTTCTTAATTTGAAGCTACCGTGTAAATGATCTCTAGACTAGGAGCTAATGAAAACATTAGGTCCTTGGTCTTTTTAACACTAAAAGATGTTTTAAATTTGTTTTTGTCTTTTTAAGTGTGTGTTCTGCAACCATTATGCATTATCAGGCATGGCTCATGGTTGCAAATAACAGAACTCCCCTCTATCTAGAAGACAGCCAGCTAGGAATAATGCCCAAAACACTCTTTAGGGCTGCTCCACTCTTTAGACACTGCTACCACCACTGGGCGCTTGATACCAGAACCTCTGCCTTTGCCATCAAAAGCTGGAGCCCTAACTTGGCACAGTAGCCAAAGCTGGACTCCTCACCTTGCTCTCTTGGGTGTCAAAGTCCTGTGTGGTTGTGTCTGATTGTTGGAGCCTCTGTTACATGCCTGTAAAACTCAATCTGTAGAGGAAGCTGGGAAAGCAAGTTTGGCCTTCTTGGGGGAAGTGGCACATGGTAATCCAAAGAGGTTGGGTGGTCACTCATCATGACAATTATCAACCACAATATAATAAGGTAGTACTGGAGAGATTGTTCATATTTTGTGCTAGGGAAGGATTCATTGCCCCTCAACTATCTTTCCACTTCTTAGGAGTCCCTAAAATTGAATTCTGCAAAAGCTGCCCTGTGTCTCTTGGTCCCACAGAATGGGGCTAGAGAAGTCCTATGAAGCCCTTCCTATAGTCACTCTCACTAGCAATATATGACAGTGTCCCTTATATTTAAACTTCTAGATCTCTAGACAGCTAGCTATTGACTTTCTACCATGAGTAATGATGGAATTAGTTTTTCTATTTTCCACCCCTATCTTCCTCCCCAGTGCACCTGACTCTTGATGATCATATAATTTTTCATATCCTATTCTTTAGATTTTGAAATGTACTTATAGCTTTATTACATGATTTATCAGCTTCAATAATCTTTCTATCCTCTGCTCTACTAGATGAGAAAATCAGCATATTGACATTACTACCCACCATCTGTCCTCTTCCCCCTCCAAACCTTTGCTATATTATTTCTACATCATTAGAGTTTATCACATTTAAATTCTGTTCTGTGACCATAACCTCCACAATTATTTTAGTTTTAGTCCTACAGTTAAATGAAGTCAGTACTTAGGATCAGTACTCCACTTATCTCCTTGCTTTTCAGATTTTGGCCTGTAGTATTTTCTTCAGGAAGGGCTTAGGGTATATTGCCTGAGTTTTTGCAAGCTCAGAAAATGTTCATTTTCATTATACATTAATGACTCTTTGGCTGTGTATAATTCTTGGATCATGTACTTTATTTCCTGAGGACTTTGCAATTATACTGTTGTTCCAGTGTCTTCTAGGACTGAACATTTTTGAGAAAAGTAACAATGTGACTTAAACTTTTTGCCTTAATGTGCAACAACTTTTTTCTTTGAGTTCCAGCAGCTTTATTAAAACATGATTCAGGGTTAAATGTTTTGTGTTAAATGTTTTTCCAAGTTCAGTGAGTCCTCTCAGTTTATAGAGTATGAGTTATATTTCTGAAAAGCTACTTCAGAGCTTGTCTGTAGCTTTTTTCCTATTTTATTATTTTTCAACCTCTTCAGGATATTAGTTATTACATATATTTAAGCCTTTTTTTAATCTGTCCATGTTAGCTATTATTCTTTCATAATTCTTGTTAATTTTTTCTACTTCATTGAATTGCACTCTTTTTCCATTCCTCATGTACTTGTTTCTTTCCATGTTTTAGCAGAATCTGGTTGCTGCCGGTGAAATGTGTGATTCCTGGGCTCTGCCAAATTGTATTTCATTTCCTACTTCCTTGCAGTATCTTCCCTGAGCTCTTGTATATCCTATATGAGCTCTTGCTTTATAGGTATGGAAGCTCTGTTTAAGTTGTTTACCCTCCAAGTTTATAGCAATATTTTTGGCTCAAATGTTTAATTGTTCTACGGAAAACTTTTTTTTTCTGTTGCTTATTGTTTGTCTTTCATTTTATCTCTATTTCTTCTCTTATTTTCCTGTAGTAGCGTTATGTGGATGCTTATTTTTGAAAGAGGTCAGTTTTGTTTTTTTTGTTTTGTTTTTTCTGGTCCAGCTACTGGCAGGAGGTTTGTATGGGAGAGATGCTATGTCCATGTTTTCCACTAGCAGGAATTCTTGCTGTTTTCAGACACGTAAGTTCCTTATGACACGAAATTGTGTAAGTGACTCCTTTTTCCCCAGCTACCAGAGATCAGTGACTTTAGGGCTACTCACAATGCAGTCTGTCCTCTGGCCCTGTCTCAACAATAGGCTACTGCTTGCAAATTTTGGATTGCTATATGATTTTTCTTTTAGCCTTATCTTCCGTGCTTTT